CCCTTTTGTGCTTTAGAGAAAAGGGAATTTTGCATTGAAAGGAGGATTCACTGTATACCTAGAAAGCTGTAAGACACAATTTCTCTCCTACTCACCGCTTCTAATCAGACAGATGGATACATTGCTATGGAAAAAATATCAGAAAAAATAAAACTAAAACAATGACTGCATCATTTTTATTTATTTCTTGCATTCTCTGTTCACGTAGCAAGAAATTTAATTCCAGTTGGATCAGTCTCCTGTGATATTTTTTTCTTTCATTTAATATATTTTTTAAATGCTTAGAGGCATTATGACAGAAAAGCATGTATTTTTTGCCCTGGTTTATACCCATCATCCTTAACATTACAACAAGACAAAAGCATTAAAGTAAAATTAATCATGTCAAAAGATTTTAGCAAAAAACAAGGGAGACCATGCATAAAGCATCGCTTTGTCTAGTGTGAAGTCACGCTCTGATTAAAAACATATAATGAAAGTGAAAGTAATACATCATTGCCTTAGCAGTAGGGTTTTTGGGAGAGCTATGCAATTCTGAACAGAAAAAATCTTTATAGGCTCTGGATTTTGAAACTTGCAATTATTATAGAATAATTCTAACAAACAAAACATTGTTTCGTGCCCTTAAAGTTTAATTGATCTTAAACATTGCAGTTAAAACAAACAACCAAAGGAGTTCTAGGATTGTACAAGGACTCCTGGCAGGACCGTAGCTGGTAATTAAAACCGAAGCAGCAGTGGCTGGTTCTGAGCAGTGAGGCATGAGGTGGTGACACAGACACCCCCCCCACTGCCCCACATCCAGTAAGTAGTTATGAGGACTGCGAAATATCACAGAAAAAAGAAAGCCCATTAATAGAGCAGAACTTTTGCTGTTACTAAGGGCTGTCAAACACCCATCAGCCATTCAGTTTGTGTCACTGGCAGTGGTAGCCTGTTGCTGCTACGTGACCCAGGTAGCACCCAGTTAAAAAATGAACTGGCGTTGGTGCACGTGCAAGCAAGCCGGAAAAGAAATCACACAGTGAGGATCTGCTCACTGTAGTTTGCTATACAGTCTACAAAAGCCCCTACTTTGCTCAGGCACGACTGGGCAATAAGAAACGTTCCAAATTACATAGCAACACGCACATTATGAATCTTAGATTAGGATTATGCCCACATCAAGTAAAATTAGGTGGCAGAAAATGTTTGTAAAATGCCACTTGCTTTCTCTATTTTTCTTCTTTATTCTGTCTCTATTCTTTGTTACCAACACAGAAAAAATAATTTTCTGAGAAATACCAGACAGGAAAAATACACAGTAATACTAGACTGTGAAAAATCTACCGATCCCTTGAGCCATAGCATTCTTGCCTATAGATGATGACATTAAAAAATTGGAAATGGGTGCATGCTTCCCCTCCTCTTCTGGATCTATGAACAAGGCAAGTTGTTTTCCTGATACCTTTAGAATTACTCCCATTAGTACTGATGCATTTGGTGCTTTGGGTAGCCAGGCAGAGAGAGGTGGGCAGTATCCCCTGCCAATAGATCTAGTGTTGTCGCAGGAACAAAATGAGATTGCTACTCTGCTGAGCTGTCATACTCGATAGCTTGTGCTGTTCAACCTGGAACTGTCTTCATAGCTCCAACTGCAGAGCCACGGCTTACATGGAGTCAGTAGTTTCTGATGGCTGATCTTCCCCTGTTCCTTACACATCCCACAAGGCAGGACACAGAGCCTCAAGCAACTGAGTGGCTGGAACAGCCAGTCTCCACACGGAGAAGGAAAAAGGCAAAAGGCAAGCCGTTTCCCCTTACACAGAGCCCAAGGCAATGGAGGGGCTCCCCCAGCCAGTCTCCACACGGAGAAGGAAAAAGGCAACAGGCAAGCAGTTTCCCCTCAAATGGGTTTGCAGACCCTGCTGAGTAACCTCTGGGGCTCCTCTCAGTCGAGGCTGACAAGAGGAGATTTGGTCTCCTCTCATGCATCTCCTCCTCTGTGGCCCTGCCACTGCACCCAGAACCAAGTGTTTGCAAGCTTCTTTCCCACCTTCCCTACTCCCAAGTGGCACTGGCACAGAGAGCAGAAAATGAGTAATGTAGATGATAAGTTTGGATGAGGGAAAGGGGAATTTCTGTGGACATTTACATTGCATCAATAAGCCTCTAAGCGCAAAACCTGGCTTTTTGTTGATGCGTGGGGGAGTCACGTGGGGAGGGCAGAAAGTTAAAGAAAAGACTTTGTAAATGTTTGCTAGTACAGGAGGAAATCAAATACACCTAAGGCGATAATTAGATAGAACACCCTGAAACACCAGACTACAAGGACTGAGACTCTGCCCATCACAGAACCTCATGAGCACAATACGGCTTTTACTCTGTCCCTGTTCACTAGGGAGCAAACTCCTCATTTTCACTGATGAGTTAGGGTGAACTGCAACCTCAGGACTGGCAACACTGTCTAAACAAGTGGAAAAGAAACAGAAAAAATATATTCCTCATTCGCCACTAATTGTACATCTCCGATAAGAATAAACAGACCAATTATTTTCCAAAACTGAGGACTCTGAGAGAGGTGAAAGGGTAAACAAAGGAAATAAATGTACTTCTTCCTAAACTGCAAAAAGTACATGAAAAATAAAGATAGAACAATGTCCTTAAATTCCCCCACACCGTAAATAACATAGTATGTTGACACAACACCACGACTGCACTGAACTATCACCATGTTACAATGGGATTAGTTTGTGGTCTTCCCTAAAACTGCTCAGTCACACTTCTTCAAGTGCCTGCACTTCTATGCTGTCGAGTCCTTCAACGTTTTGTGGAAAGGACAGGACAAAAATTCTACTCGAACTTGTCTTCACTTCCCATCCTCTCTTATATTAAGCTAGAATATAAAGCAGGGGATACTTGAAATTCTTACTTAACTTTTTCTAAAAAAATAATTATTGCTACCATTTGGTGACTAGTAATAACATTTTCTAAGAAATCATGCTTGTTAACATTTAGTCTTTTTCAGTGTGAAAAGACATCCTTGAACAGTCGTCCAGGCCAAGAGAGCAGCCTTTTCGAGCAGTTTTTGTAATAACAGGATTACTCATGTCACGAGAGGACTGTGTATTTGATAGTCACTGTCTCAGCTAACAGTAAGACAGATTCTAGGACCTTCAAGACTTTCAGTGCTGAGCACCAAGTACCTGAACGTGAGGTAGCTAGGACTGTAACAGATGCATTATCTTTTAATCACAGCACAGAAGGTTACATGCATTAACCAGAATGGAAAGAGAATTTTTGTTCACTATTTGTTACTATTTGTTAGAGGTAACATAGAAAAGACTACATTCTTTTGATAAAATTACATGAAATTATTCAGAAACACCTCTCAACACCATCATAGATGGTGGTGTTACTCAAATACTAGCAATGGATTTTTAACCAGAGCGTTTAGATATGAAAGGTCCAGTTTCCCACAGTCTTGGAGACAGCACCACAATGTAGGTAATGAAGAACTGAATAAATTTAATTCTTACAAAATCTGACACATCTACAGATAGGTAAGACTGGGAATAAAGTTTGTTACTTTAATTCAGTGGAGAGTTCAGATCCTGAAGTAAGAAATCCATTTCTCCTGCCTATCCTGGTGAGCCACTGGATTAGATGCAACAAATTCAAAAAACCTGAACACTTCTGCCTTATGTAGTGTCATTGATTTTTCACGGACTTACCATCTTCAGAATTTTCTTAGAAGTAGCATACAGAGGTGGGTATCATATCTCATTATTCTCAAAAATGTGAAGCATAGTATGTTCCCTAGTACAGATGCCGTAGACTTTTCTGATGTACAGTTCATATGAGCTTTTGTAATTTGCCATTTTTATACAATATCCTTAACTATTAGTCCAGGGCATCCATACCTAGGCAGTCTTTACGTTGGCAGCACTTTGAGGAAGGCTCCTGAATTTTCCATGGGAGAAAGCAATTTGCAAAGGCATAATTTCAAGTCCTGCATCATAGCAGTCTTTTGAATTCTTTTTCATCCTAACCGGTGCTTATAGTATTAATGTAGATGTATCCCATTAAAGGGCTTTGGATAAGGGATGAAGAACAGAATTCTGTGAAAGGTATTTTACTGTGGGGAAAAAAAAGCAGGTCTATTAGGAAATCCAGGTTTTACCAGTTGTCCAGTTTTAGAAGTATGGCTTTGATTTATGGATCAAAATTGCTCATTTATTATTTTATCTATAGCGCTTTGGGCAATTTTGACAGTTAAAATTTAGTTTTATTGACCAATGCAGCCAGTTTAGCCACAAGGGGACTAATGCACACACAGCCTGCTGCACTCAAGAAGCTATGATTTGATTCCATGACCAAGTCAGACTGGGAATCACAACCAACATAACAATAAGTTCCAAATCTCGATGCTCGAGGCAAAATACTTACTCTAAAACACAATCAACCTTTAAAAGAAGGTGGGAAAGAATTTTGTGATAGGAGCCTCCGTGCACTGTTTATTGTAGCTGATATATTCCACCAATGCTTCTGTCAGCAATGGACGCAGAGCAGTACAGAGGAAACCTTTCTTTAATGATTGTGGACAACAGATAAAGCTGGAAGAAGGAAATGAAAATGCAAAAGAGAATCAAAGGTGTGCTCTAGTACTACAGCTTACCAGGGATCTGAGTCTGAGAAAACTGTCTCAAACGTTGCCTTTTTTTTTTCACTAAACTACATTTTATTCCTATGTATATAAATATGCATGTATTCATGTCGCAGTATGAAAGACTTACAAGTTTACTTAAAAAACTTACTGGAATGATTTTAAGCCAATGTTAATTTAGGCCTATCCTATTATAAAATTAGCATCTTCTGCAATCTCAATTTATTGCTCCATTGTGAAGCCCCTTGTGATACATAAACAAATCTCTGAAGAGAAACAAATCAATAAAGTGTCTAATTTGATTAACCATGTTTTTAAATTCATCAAGACAACTGTACAAAAATAAACCACTTACTTGTCAGTATTTTCCACGTCTTCTTTTCATCATCATAATACTGAACCAAATTGCTGGGTAGCCGGTCAGGTCCGGGAGGCAATCCTCCAACCAATAACAGCATTTTCTTATTGGAACGAATTCTTCACCCAAAACAAGAGGAAAGATGAACAACCACATTACTGAGGAGTATTTTTAGTGGCAACAAAATCATAACCATCAAAAAATGTTCACTGCTTGCAGTTTTCTATTTCATTTTTTGTGTTTCTTTCCCCAATCATGTCTCAACAATTTTTTGAACCAAGCAGAAAAATGATCAGAAAAGCTGCATATCTCTCTACTCATGGAATAATAAGCTTCCTTTATGCAATTTGTTAGAGGTTCATTCTAGAACGACCTTTTTCTTATAATATCCCTTTAAATCATCACTCTTTACAGCTGAATACACATGAAATGCTCTGGAGTTGTACTAAGGTTAAGCATTAAAGTTGCATGTCAAAAATCGTATTAGTCAAAATCATTATTATAAGCCATTCTACACTCAAAGAACCTTGAAAAAATTAAGGTTATGCAGAGAGTTTGTGAGCCAACTCTTTAATCACACACTGAACTTCAGATATATAGTTTAGTACAATTAGCAGCACTGGGCTAATGGTTATGGGTTAAATGCTACTTACAAGCACTTTTGTTTGTTTAATTTAGTCCAGACTCTTGCTTTCACTCTCCCCCCGGCTCCCCCCCTTCTCTTCGCTCTCCCCCTGTGCACCACTGGCTATAGCAACACCAATTGGTAAAAATGAGACTGTGATGTTGTTGTGAGCCTCCCCAGAGTGGAGCCCTGCCAATGCTTGCCACTGATCCAGCGGCATGAACCTGCTCAACTGTGCAAAGTCACTCTAATTCCCTCCCTCTGTTTTTCTACCTTCTCCCCCAGGGGGCAACCACTGAAAGGAGTGACTACCCACCCATCAAGAGCTGGCAATTCGCTGCTATTAACCGTGACCGTGATTCCCAATCTGCCTGGCAGTTCTTAAGAACAGGACTGCAATGTCTCATATGCAGTAAAAGCGGTTATCTGCACCCTGGCCTCCAACGCTCCACCTGATGAATGTACGATTTCTTTGCAACATTAAGGGATTTAGCACAATTGTAAGTGAAAAGGGGAGGGGAGGCCCAGACCCCCAGATGAGCCCTGATGCTTTAATAGTCACTTCGCATATAATTGAACTTTCATCAGTTATACTAAGCTTGGGTGTGGATAACGCTGAAATAAAGGCCTGTGCTCGAAACGTTCCTGTGAAGTAGGAAGGTGATGTAGCCTGGAAAAAATGCATCGATACAAACGAATGTGCAAGGGGACCACGCATTTGATGGAAAGCACCCTTGCCAAACACCAACATTTTTCCAAGCATGACAACATCGCTGTAGCAATCTGTGTGTCAGTCTGCAGCAAACACTCCTGGCCAAGAAAGGTACAGAATGCCACGAACCAAAGCTCACCACACCACAGAGCTGCCCACGGCGGGGGTGAAACCACCACCCAGGAGCTCTAGTCTCAGCAGCGTACTCCGTCAGCGGGTGCTTTACCAGCGAGGCACACCAGCGGCTTAGCTCCAACTATGACCTAAAATGAGTGTTGGGGACCCACCAATTTACATTTGTATCAAGACTGCATCCTCTCTTGAGACGACTGGGCAAGATGAACTAGGTTGTACTGTAGACATGCACTACCCAAAAGGAACCTCCTTCAGGAAGGGAGCATGTAGCTGAAAGCTCGATCCACATGATGCTTAGGAATAAAACCTTTCAAACGGCTATCCAAAAGACAACTACAGACTGCAGATGCATCTATCACAAGGATGGCCAGGGAATTATCTGGCAGATGGCCTTGTTTGTTTTTAAATGGATTTAGGGTTCAGGGAAGGTCCTGAATTGACAGCAGAGGAAACAAAACCCTCACTGCAGGGGCAGGAGCTACACCATGGGGGCAGTGACACTCTCCCATGCTGTCCTATCCCCCTGCTTCACTACCGACTTGGGGGGAGCCTCTGCGGTCCTTCAGTCTTTCTGACAAGCCAGCCTTTGACCTCTGCACTGAACCTGCTACGTACTGCCAAATGATGACTGTTACCTGCCCACCAGACTGTATCTGTGTAGGGTATCAGGAACCATCTCATGATCGCTGTCAGCACTGACTCCACTCAGTGAGACCAAGCTCTGGGGAAAGCTTTCCTAAGCATTGCCAGTGTCTTGAAACGTTCAGTCTCCCCGGTAAAGTTTTTAATGAGAGAACATTTGATAAAAACTATGCAACACAGAAGTATGATAAACTGTTTTTGGTATGAATTAGGGCTGACTGCACATGTAACAAGTGGCAGAGCAAACCAGAGCCATAAGTCAGTTATGCATGGCCATCCCTAACGATAGAGAATAAATAGTTTATTCCAACCCTCTTGTGTTGTATGTTATATCACAATCAACTCCCTGTGTATTGTAAAATTCCAAATGCCCTTGCAAGGTTTACTTGATAAAGGAGTTTATTTTGATTTTCATCTTTCATCTGTAAAACTCCCTTCTAACTCCAAAGCACTGTGAAAAACCAATGAATGGCCAAGGCTCGATAGTTAAGGTGAAGAATGAAATGTCAGATGTAACTCTGAGTTTCCAGACTTTGGCAGCTGCAACTATCCTTAACATTACTTTTTCAGCTAAACAATCTGAGAAGCTACTGTTTCCTGTGACAGCGCAGCACTGCTATATGGGAATGTTTAAAAAATATTTAGTATTTTCACATGTTTAAAATGGGAATTAGCATGAACAGAAGCCTTTAATAAGAGTTGAATAAGAACTTAATAGCCAGCACAGTCTCTATGAAAAGCACAGGGAACTCTCACATGGCAAAAAAGAGATGTGTTCTTCTACTCAAAAGTATCTAATCCACCTATGTTGAGAGCTCTTCCAGTGAACGAAGTAAAGATAATACAGTGACTAAAGCTATGCATGTTTTAAACTGATGTGTTTTCTTGCAACCAATTCTGCTTTTTAAGTTTTGGCGTCAATCACTACATCTTAGGTTTTGAAAAAAAATTTCCTTTATTACATTATATTTGTGTTTCATATTGTACTGAGCAGTACTGTTAAAATACATTCTAAAATATGAAATACATGGAAATGATCACTGCTTATATGTGAAAGACTTTTCCAAATATTAATAAAAATGTAATTCTGTGAAACACTACAATGAAGGCAGGATTTTAAAATATGTGCAATACCTTAGCAAGATAAAGCTTCTCCTTTTCTTGCATTATTACATGTTTGTTATTTGGATAACTCAAGATTACCACGTGAAACGGTCTGCATTATAACTGAAACACTCTCTTTTCATAGTCCTTATTTCACAGTGTAATATACTATTCAGTTACATACTGTGGTTCACAGTGTCCTTAGCAGGGCTATTATGATCATCTTGTGTTCAATTAACAGTAGTGGGTCCTGGTCAGGGAAAGCTAAAATAATATTAACTGTGACCAGGCAGGCTGGTGTCATGACAAAAAGCTGAGATAAACTTACCCATATCTTATCCTGGAAGCATTTCTTACGCCTATATTCAAAAACGCTAGTTCTCATTGATGAACAGTGTTGTTATTCTGCACACACTTTGCAACTTCTGTTCTGCAAAGATTTTAAAACACTTAATTCACCTTAATTAAGATCCTGGGTACCCCATGTGGTGTGAAATTTATTTTGTCTACTTACAAGACTGGAAATCAAAGTATATTTTAAAGTCAACATTTTCAAACTCGTATTGTTTTCTTCAGGCACACCAACCTAGGAATTTGAGTACTCATATAAGCAGCTTCGTTGTCAGAGATGCTGAATACCCATCAACATGACTAAATCCTACTCACTTCAAAGGTAGCAGCAGATGTGCACCAGCTCTAAAACTCAGGTCACTAGTCCATAGTCTAAACTAACCATGAATACACAGGGCAAAATGCTGAGCCCAAGAGAGATTATCAACTCACAAGGAATCAGTTGAAAAGACAGTAACAGATGTCAATATTCGTGATAACCACTCCCACCCAAAGCTTTTTTGCAACATTGATATCCTCATGTTAATGGAAAACGCATGAATAGGAAACACTCTTCTTGTACATTGTTTTCCTTTATTAGCATATCCATCAATCTTGCACTTTTGCCTTATCTGGGAAGTTAGCAGAAGTTCACTCTACCAAGGCTGGCAAGAAAACAAGCCGCACCAACAACAGGTTTGCTCCAGTCTCTTCCAGTTTTTAAACAATGTAATAAGGCTCCCCTCCCTGCATTAGCCAATGCAAAGAAATGGAAAGAATACAATGATGAAGTGGCAATCCTGTGGTTCTTAATGCATTTGGTGTAATGTTACACATCAAGAAAACTGTGTCTTAGACATACAGGTGATCATGGTAATCAACGGGAAAGAAAAAGACTATTCAACTATACTTTCCTCTTAACTCAGGGCTATAATAAAACCCAAAACCTGAATCATTAATTCTCTTTTAATATAGGCTATCACCATGGCTTTGAGCATGGAACGAGCCAGGCAACTCTTCGGACCAGGGACCTTACACACAGAAGATGCCTCGGTCCTGCTTGAGTGCTGACTTTAAACGCAACAGAGCCAAATCAAACTTCATGTATTTGCTCACTGAACGCAGGTGCAAACAAGAACAGCCGGAAGACCAGCCCAGATCCAGCAAGAGTGGGTGAATGGGTGGTGAATTTTACTTACATCCACAAATCCCATTCCATCAAAGGATCTGAGAAACTGGAGGTCGACACATAGTGATACTGTCAAAACAAGAAGTAACGAGAATCTCAGAAAAAGTGGCTGTATTAACCTGCAGCAGGAAGAAAACACTGCAGTGAGGTTTAGACACCAACCTCAAGGTAATAGACAGAGAGATAAATACACTGTCCCAATCAGCATTTCAGTTGCAGACCTTTTGTTTGTTAACATGAAAGACTTAAATTAACCTTCAGAAACTAGCACAGTCCTTAGCAATCTTTTTCTTCTAAAAAGGCATCTGAAGAAGTGTTGCGTCCACAACAAAAATGTAATGGAGAATCCAGTTGTGGTCTGCAAATCTGAACTGATGTTGCA